CCAACAAACCATCAATGGTCCTCTTTTCCTCACTGAGTGACTTATTTGGGAAAATGCCATACTATAAATCATTATATAAGGCAAACTAATTGAGGAATTGTAAAGTCATGCATCAGCACCAAAGTGAAGCAATCCTTCTAAAGACACCAAGAACTAAGAACAATGCAAAGTTGATCTTACGTTGCTGATGGGAGTGCAAATTGGTACAGCCATGTTGGAAATTTGGGATGTCTGCTAATGTTGACTTACAGAACTTTTATCATTAGCAAAGCCACACTTCAGTATAAATACAGGAGAAACACATGAATGTCATTATTAAAAGACAGATTCAAGCTGAGCATGGTGGTGTGCACCTATAATCCAGGAGGCTGAGGTAGGAGAATCAAAATGAGCTCCAGGCTAGCCTGCAATACATAGTGAGTTCAAGGCCAGCCTGAAATATAGTGAGATCCTGTCTCAAAAAAGGACAGACTCTAGTGTATTCATGACAAAATTTTTTATAATAACCTCAAACAAGAGACTATTTGTCATAGATTGAATTATGCCATTCTCAAATTCTTATGCTGAAGAATCATCATCCAATGTGAATATTTGGGAGATAGAGCACTTACAGAGGCTAATAAGGTTGAATTGGACCTAAAGATGAGGCCCTAGTCAAGTAGAATTGATTTGACAACCTTAAAATAAGAAGAATGGGTATCAGAAAGCTCCTCCCCTATCTACACACACACACACACACACACACACACACACACACAGAGCCATGTGAGGTGGTCAAAAAAAATGGTAAAGTCTGCAATCCACAGAGTCCTCACCAGGAATCAAACATGCTGGCACTTTGGTGTGGAATCTCTAGTCGCCAACACTATGCTAAAATAAATTTATATTGTTTCAGCCATGCTCCCTGTGGTAATTTGTTAGGGTCCTCTGAGCAGATTCCTATGGTATCCAAAAGCTCACTTCTTCAGAATGGACAAATGGTGGCTCATTTCTACCATGAATGACTTCCACACTGATCAGGAGAAAACTAAAACCATGCACAACATAGAGGAGAATCTCACAAACATAATGTTGAAAGAAAGAAGTCAGGGGCAAGAGCTTGTGCTTCCATTAATATAAAACACAAAAGTGGAGAAACTAAAAGAGCCTGCCAAGAGCTGGGTTAATAGTTACCATAGTAGGCAGATGGGTAAGAGGAGGAAGTGAGCAGAGCACGAGTGGTACTGATTTTAGGACCATTTCTGGGATGCTAATAATAATCTGTTCCTTGACTTGGGTGCAAAGTACATAAGCGAAGTCAGTTTGTATAAATTAATCAAGGTTCAATGTTTATATTTCATATATGTCTGTGTATATACATAAACACTTTTATATGTTTGTTATATGTAATTTAAGAACTTAAATATTTGTACTAGTCATTAAAACCTTAAAATCAAATAGAGGAGACAAGATTGATACAAATAAACTTAGTATGGATCATATAAATTAGGAAAGAATATAAACTGTCAGATGTGCCAATTATTTTAATGACTCTATTATGTGTACTAACAGAAATCCAAATTAAACTTATCTGAAACATTCATCAAGTAAATTGCAAGTCATACATACAATAAAATTTCATGGGGTAAATAGAGCTTCAAGTACCATTTTATGAAAGGACAGAGAGAGGTAAGTGATTCTCAGATAGTCAATGGTAGACAGATGTTTAGATAGTGGAATGGATGGATAACCTAAACTTTGATCACACCATCCGTACTATGAATATAGTTGAAGTACTCTCTGCAGAGGTCTGTGTGCTGGGAGCCTGTCCAGGGTGGTTTCATTGTGAGGTGTTGGAAAAGGATGACATGAGCCTATTGTGATGCAATTAGGTCATTGGGAGTAGCATCCTTAGGAGAGAGAGGTGTAGTACTCACAAGACCAGGTTAGTTGTAGCAAAAGTGTCTATGCTAAAATGGATGAAGCCTGGCCCTTGCCAGTTCTCTGGCTGCCTGTCTCACCATCTGATTTTTTCTAAATGTGCTCTCACCACCAAAATGCCATAAAGTCCTGAGACAGGTAAGCAGAAAACACCACCATGCTCTTGAACCTATAGAGCTGTGAGTTATGCAATTCTCTTTTCTTTATTAAGTTCCCAACCCCAGACATTTTGTTATATCTCCTGGAGGAGAAATGCCCATTTTCCCTGTTACACGGCTTCTTTATGCTGGCTATTAGGCAATATACAGGGGAAAACTAATGTGGTTTGTTTCTACAGAAAATGGGCTACTATGATTCCATTCGGTTTTTTATTTCCTAAAGTTTTCACGCAGGTTGAGGTATAAAGGCCAGCACCCCAGGTCCCCAAGATATCCTACAGCAACATCATCAACATGACCCATGTGGGTATCTGGGCTGGCCCCATATCACCCTGCACATTCATGGCCATGGTTCCACCACACCAATGCTGTTTCCCCACCTACCCAAACCTTCAGCCCAGTGTTGAGCTCTAACCCATAAAAGGAACACAGCAAACACTAACACTTCACCGGTGAATCCACTTATATTTCTTTTCTGACACAGTTGAATGGCAAATTCATTGTGTAGGTTTTCCTCTTCTTATCTTTCCCTTCCCAGCAAACACATGAGGTACAATCTCAACACATGTTAGCAGAGCGAAAGAGTAGGGCCCATCCCAGCTGTGGGAAGGGAGGTTCATCTAAAGCTGAGTCATGTGAGGCAGCACCAGGCAGGTCAGCATCTGAGGTGCAAGGCCTGAGCCTGAACCCCCTCTCTCCCTATCTCTGCTGGGGGAAATGGGGTGGGAGAGAGGAGCACTGGGCTTCAGAATAGAGAAAAGGTCCAGGGTGCAAAGGGCCCTCAACAGAAGAGAAAAATCAAGGAGCCCTTGGAGGAGGGACTCCGTTATGCCTTTATCTGAAGCTATTTAGGAACTTTCCCAGCAAGTATAAAGATTGGAAAAGAAGAAAGTGCAGTGAGTTTAGCCTTTTTGGGTCACTGAAAGTGTAAATAAGGACTAAAATGTATAATAGGTAATGTGAAATAGGAAGAAAAGGGGCAAAGGGGAAGGAAGTGGGAGGGGGAGGGGAAA